TTTCACTCCTATTTCTTTTTTATATATATATATGAAAGGAAGAAGATAAAAGAAACGAAGAGAATGAAAAACAAAAAGAAAGAAGAAAAGAAAAGAAAGACGTGGGTTGCCTCCCACGAAGCGCTCTGTTTAAAGTCGTGAGCTCGACTTTCCTGTCAATTCATAGTCAACCGGGCACGGTTTGATGAGCTCGTCCAAACTCCTCGTACTCACCAAAGAAAATGTTTGCCCACTTACTCTTTGGAGGCACCAGGAATTTTCTCCTCAACTCATCATCAAAATTCACCCCTCCCGGTTTAGTACCTCCACTCTTAGGCTTCTTTTTTATCCTTCTTACTCGATTTCGACCCAACCATCTCCAACATCATTCTTTCTACTCAACTCCGCATACTTCACCTCAAGCTCATCATTCACTTTCATTCTCGGTCCCACTACCTTCTTCTTTTCAACAATGTCATCGCAATGAACAAAAGTAGAAAAAGAATCGGGATGTACCTCTTTGTCGATGTCGTCCATAAATGAGCATTGGCCAACTTTGGGTTGAGCTTCTCGAGCATTGTTTATCGTGAAGGTGACCGTCTCTCCATGAGCCGAAAGGGTGACTCGTCCATCCTTGACATCAATAATGGTGTTGGTTGTCGCCATTAAGGGTCGCCCAAGCAAAATTGTATGCTCCTTCTGGTATTCGGGACATCTCCCACATCAAGGACCACGAAATCCACCAGCACCACAATAGACCCAACTTTGACTAACACATCTTCAATAATGCCCTTTGGTTCCCTCAACAATCGATCCGCTAGTTGTAGGCACATCCGGGTCGACTTGAGTCCTTGCAACCCCAATTGTTTATAGATCGAATATGGCATAAGATTGATACCGGCCCCCAAATCAAGCATCCCGGACGTCGCCTTACCATTCCTAAAGGCAAACTTCATCACAAAGGCTCCCGGATCGCACTCTTTCCGAGGTATAGTGGTAGAGGCTACCTCGGAAATCATGACTTTCTCATTATCCTCAAATCTCTGCTTTTTCGAAGCCAAGTCCTTAAAGAATTACACATATGCCGGGACGTTCTTAATAACGTCTAATAGTGGGAGATTGACATTTACATTTGAGAGCATGTTGAAGGGGTCCTTGAATTGACGCTCCTTCTTGGTACCTTGCAAGCGGCTCGGGTAAGGGACCGGTGGCCTATAAGGTGTTTTTGTCTTGTGCAAGGCCTCACGTGCCTCCATCTTTGACTTTTCCTTCTCGATCCCCTCATCAACAATGGCTTTACTCTTCGAGACCTCAACCTCCTCAATCGGTTCTTCATCAACCTCATCAAAAGTCTCCTCCACCTCATTCTCCTTGGTCATCTCCACATGATTATCCACCTTCCTACCACTCCTCAATACCGAGATGGCAATCACATGCTCGGGTTGGCTCGGGAGCTTGTCTTTCATCTTATTCCTTTGCATTTCTCCGAGTGAAGTCCCGAGTTGCCCAACTTGTGTCTCGAGGCATTTGAGGGAAGCTTGGATTGAAGGTATGCCCTTAACCGCATCATGGAGGGTGGACACGGTCAATGCAAGGTTTTGAAGGTACTTCTCCATGTTATCGATTCGCACATCCGAGGAATTCGCCTTAGTCTCATTCTCGGGCTCCGGTTGAGGGGGCATTAGTTGCCTTGAGACGAATCCTCCTCGCGCTTGTTGGAAGCCTTGGAAATTTGGCCTCGGTTGGTAGCCTTGAAACTCGGGCCTCGGTTGATATGGTCGGTTTTGAGGGGGTGCATAAGCTTGAGGTGGGGCATAGGCTTGAGGTAGTGCCGGTTGAGGCGCATAGTTCGCCTTTGAGTCCCTCCAAGAGAAGTTTGGGTGATTCCTCCACCAGGGATTGTAAGTGTTCGAGTAAGGATCATTTTGAGCCCGGGGAGCATACCCTTGTACGGCATTGACAACGAAAGGGACCATCACGTGATTGGGGTCATAAACTGGCTCCATATAACATGGACACTCATGGCTCCGTGCCCCATCTCTCCACAACATCCACACACCTCCGCCATCACGACTTGTGTAGACTTGGCATCACGTAAACGAAGGTGCTTAAGTTCCTCCTCCAATGAGGCCAACTTAGTCATAACCGCATCATTTGACGAACCGGATGATTGTGTGGCCTCATTAACGGAAGTTCTCTTCCGGACACTCTTCCTTTGAGAATTTTCGCTCAACATTTCGTACAACTCATAAATCTCCTCGGCCGCGTGACTCCCGATATCTCCCCCGGCCGCATGGTCAACCATATATTGGAGGGTTTGGTAGAGACCATCGTAGAAGAATTGGTTAAGCACGTCCAAGCAAAAATGATGGTGTGGGCATTGGAGTTGATAGCCCTTAAACCACTCTCATGCTTCGTGAAAGGTCTCGCCCGGGTTTTGGCTAAAGCTAGCCATTTGTGCTCGGAGATCGGTTTTCTTTTGATGCGAATAATACTTGCTCATGAACTTCTCGTAGACGGCTTCCCACGTGTTGAGTGAGTTTGGAAGCAATGTTATGAACCAAGTCTTGGCTCGATCCTTCAAGGTATAGGGGAAGCATCTCATTCGGAGTTGGTTCTCGGTTAGGCCTTGGAAAGGAAAGGTGTTGACCGTTGAATACAAATCCCGGATGAAATTGAGGGCATCTTCTTGTGCAAGACCATAGAATGAAGGTAGTTGGTTGAGGTGGATCGTCTTGAGGTCATAGTTTCGGGCCGCCTCCCCGAGCACGAGGCACGAAGTGTTGTCTCCAATAATCGGTCGGGCAAAGTACCTCATGTTCGGGGGCGGTGGTGGTAGTTCTCTTTGGTCCGCCATTGGTTCGGGTTCGGGTTGTGGTTCGTTGATGTTGAGCTCAATGTAGAGATCGATTGATGGTGTCTCCTCTCGGGGTACACGCTTTCATCTACCTCGCATAAACACAAACAACAACTGCACCAGTGAACGCACCAACGGGAAGCAAGAGCAAAACACAATCAATAAACACAAACTATCTACAAAAGTAAGAAAAATCAAGAAAAAATACGGAAATTAAGCAAAGTTCACAAAAATCAAGAGAAACACATGAAAAGGGACAACTAAGTAGCAAACTAGGCGTTCTACTTGCCTTCCCCGGCAACGGCGCCATTTGTTTTGTAGTATTTTGTAGGTAGTTGGTAACCGAGCTACCCGACCTCGAGTCGTTCTCAAAGGAAGACGGTTCGGAGCTTTGTTCACAACTCAATTGTCCAAATCACACAAAACGAGAAAGTAAAAGCTAAACATGCTAATCAATGGGTTGGAGAGTGAATTAATGCTAATCGATGCTCGGAATTGAAAGCAACAAGTAAACTAGAGAATATAACAATTAACACTACCGGATTCTCTATGCCATCGAAACCAAATAAAATCAACAGCGAACAATTTGCAAGTTCTAAGCACTAGGTCACTAACCCTAACCTAAATGATTAAGCTCTAAATAGAGTCCTAACTCTTAATCTAGATAGGCGAGCAATTAGTCCCTACTAAAACAAGCAAGAGCAATGATCAAGTCCAAACTTCCCATCCATCATCCAACAAACACTCAAATTCGCCTTGATAATCATCATAAATAAAAACGAGGCAAAAATCGAAGTAATGAGCTTTAAAAGTAAATATCCAATCTTCTATTGCGTGCTAGATGAAAATTGGAATCAAAAGTTCAAAACTTGAACAAAATAAAAGTCGCCGAAAAATGATGTCATAAGCTCCAAAGAGAGAGAATAGAGAGAAAACTAAAAAGAAAATAGTCGTTCCCAAAGTGGGAAAGTTACAAATGAAATCTAGATAGTCCAAATACAAAAGACCAAAATGTATTTATAGTCGAGCTCAAAACACACACTAATCTCAAGCACATTTACTAAGAAACACTCCCGAGCTCGCGGGACATTTCATAGGTCGCGGGCATGAGATGGCGCGGACGCGGCACGAGGTCGGCACAGTGTGGCGCTAGGAAGAATGAACACTCTCGATATCGCGGCAGGATCCGCGCGCGCGGACGAACAGTGGAGCAACACTCTCGATGTCACGAATTGGGCCGAGGGCACGGACGCAGGGAAATGTGCATTCTCGAGGTCGTGGACGCTCCAGCGAGGTCGCGAGTGTGGCCTAATTTTGAGAATTTTGATCCACACGACCCAAAAAACTCGGAATGGAAATAGCTCGTACACAATGGCTCGAAACTCTTCGAAAATGACTCGAAATTCTTTGAAAATCTCGTCTCTCGAGACTCGGTTCGACTCTTCTCATCACCCTCAGAATAAAACCTGAAAATGACACCAAAAAGTAAGGAAAAGTATGCAAAATATATAAAATAAAAGGAAAGACATAGAAAACACATTAACTACGATAAAATGGACCGGTGGACACTAAAACGATCCTAAAACCGACTCAACTATGCACATAAAACATATAAAACGAAGCACAAAAACACAATAAACCCACCCAAAATGACGGAGAACCCTATCAGGTAAGTGGACTGTTGTCCCATTCTCTGCTTGTCGAAAATTGCACGACCATACGTATTAGAAATAACATCCACGACCAACGGGAACTGCAGCAACACGAACGAGGTCACGGCCAAACAAGCAAGTGCAACCACCGGTATGAGTATCCAAGTCTTTCCCCGGCCGAAAACTATATAAAGTGTCGCGCTAAATGCCATCATCATAAAAGATATGGACATGAAAAGTGTGACAAGCCAGGGACATAAAGGTACGCACGATTATCGAGTTGAGTTCTCCTTTAATGTTTAAGATGTGAGCTGATGAATATTAAACATTCTAACATAAAGGTAAAACTATTCGGTGAGTGTGGATGTCGGCATTAGTGTAAGAATATAACTATGTTAGATGTACGTTTCTATAATATGCATGTATGTACGGTCTCTTGTTAAGACATCATCTTTAAGTTTAAAGCCCATGACATTTTTAATTTTAATTATGTACGTTGCATACCTTTTCCTCTTCTTAACACATCATATTTATAGAGTATAAATACACTTATACAAATCACCACAACATTGAAACAACTCAGCAAAAAGTGCAAAGTGACTGAAGACAAAATATGCTTAGCCATACTACATCGAAACTCTACAGCCAAACACNAAAAAAAAAAAAAAAAAGGTAACAATTCAGCTGTAACTCTGCATTTTTAATCAATCAATAGAAGGGGCGGTTGCTCTGCTTGCCGAAAATGCCACGACCGTACGTATTAGAAATAACATCCACGAGCAACGGGAACTGCAGCAGCACGAACGAGGTCACGGGCAAACAAGCAAGGGCAGCCACTGGTATGAGTATCCAAGCCTTTCCCCGGCCGAAAACTATATAAAGTGTCGCGCTAAATGCCACCATCATAAACGAGATGGACATGAAAAGTGTGACAAGACCAATGCAGAGCCTCTTGGGCAACGCGTACAAGAAATCTTCCTCCGCATAGCGTGAGGTCAGAATAGATAAGAACATCAAGAGAGAAGATGTGGACGTGAAGAGAGAAACGGCATCCGAGACAGCGAATATTATGAAGGCAGCCTTTGTGGAGAAGAAAGGGAAGCCATTTGACGCGTTTCCGCCCGGGACTGTGATAGCGGCGGCGAACACGACTGTGGCAATCAATGCGGCGGCAATTGTGCACGAGTTGGCTGTGTCCTTCATCCACTTTTCGCCTTCGGCTTTTAGTTCCTTGTGCTCGTCTGTGAATACCATCTTGGGCGTTTTTCCGGAATTGTTCATTCGTTCTCGGGAATACGGGTGGAGAAATTTCTTCACTTCCTGTTAACATCAATCGAACGCAAAGGTGCATAATGATTTAATAGCACACAAAGTAAATTCATGACCAATGGCTAACAGTAGGGTTGTTAATTAACCGAACATTCGCGAACAAAAGCTCGTTCAAGTTCGACAAAAGCTCGTTCGTTCGTTAATTGAGCCGGGTTCAAACAGAAAATTAGGCTTGTTTAATAGTCGAACGAACACGAGCTCGTTCGCGAACAAAAGCTCGTTCAAGTTCAACAAAAGCTCGTTCAAGTTCAACAAAAGCTCTTTTGTTTGTTAATTGAGTCGTGTTCGAATAGAAAATTAGGCTTGTTTAATAGTTGAACGAACACGAGCTCATTCGATAATGTTCGAGAACAATAATTTAATATAGTTTTATTTTATTTTTATATATTTACATAATATTTTAAATAAAAAATATAAAATATAAAAATATTTTTATTTTATTTTTTTATTTTCAAGTTCAAACCAACAAATTTCGAGTTAATCTAACATGTTTAAAAAGTTTATGCCCTAAATTATACGAACACGAAATTTGACGAACAATTAAACGAACGAGCTCAAACACAATTTTTTGCACGAAATATAAACGAACGAACACGAACACCATTCGAACATAAACGAATACGATCTTGAAACACCCAAGCTCGGCTCGTTCTGCTCGATTATAACACCAGCTAACAACTTACGAATATACGTAAGAACTCACATAAGTCACGTACCTCAAACCACTGCAACTCGCGCTGCATTTGAAGAGCTGCACCAGAGACGAGATTGAGTTTATGTGGTGGGGCCAACCGTGCAGCCAGGTGAAGGAGCGTGTTTCCGTTAGCATCCACCAAATCCGAGTACTGATGCCTGAGGGAGCTCGTCTGGTAAATCAGGTTGAACACCTTTTCACTACGGTTTTCGACCGCCACGTGGAATATGTACTGTTTTGAGTGGAAATTACGAGAGTATATGGCAGCTGGGAATGTGGCCACAAGTTCCTCGATAACCTCATGAACACCTAAGCGTGCAGCCGTAAGCATGACGTCCACATAGATTCCCGAGGCCTGCTTGTAATCTAAGGACTCCATATTCTTGCACAAAGATTGAACAAGCTCAAACGCCAGCTCATGAGTGCGTTTTCTTTGACGATGGGCCTTCGCACGAGGAACTGGTGATATGTCGAAAAATACAGTCAATGGAATGAAACTAAAAGTATTCGTAGTATATATATGACAGAGTTTTAAATCGTAGCGAAGTGATAGAGAACCATTTTCCTGATCATTTGATAACAATCATTTCATTTCTTAAATATACACTTAAACACAATATTACTCATATAATTAGCATTGAATAATTCTTCGCAAATTCATAATGAACCCAACACCAAATTCCAACATAGTTTAACCGAGAGACTAACCCGAGTAAATAAACCGTTCCCAGAAGTTGAATCGCCTTACGCCACTCGAGAAGGCAGAGTCCTTAAGCGCTACCCTGCTCAAAGCCGACGTGCCATCTCTCAGTTTCAAAGCAGCCAAATGTGTATACTTTTTAGCCAAATACAACGCCACATCTGAATAATACAGAGCAAAAGACAAGTCATCATCACAAGTTCAAAAAACTCACAACAATGAAGTACCCGAACCAAAAACGCACCCACCAAAAATATCAGCATCAATCACAGTACACAGAAGCTTGAGGCCCGTCTCCCCAAGGTACGGGCTCGGGAACCAGTCGTCCTTCGTCTCGGATATCAAGTACCAAAGGGTCTCCCCATGGGCAGACAGCGCCGCCAGGTGGACTGGGAAGCTACCCTTGTTATCGGGCACACACAGCAAATCGGGCCTCCGGCCCACAAGAATCTTGGCTGCAGCCGTGTTTCCGGTGAGAGACGCTACATGGAGGGCCGTGTAGCCGAGCTCGTCCTTCACTCCTAATAAGTCGTCAGACATTATGTCGACCAGGTTTTGGACGAAATGGAGGGCCTTGCCCGTGCCCACGGCTATGTGGAGAGAAGTCTCCAAGGTGAAGGCTATCCGGGCCCTGGTGGCGTGTGGGTCCCGGTCGATGATTTGTTTGGCCCGGTCCCACTCGCCCATAAGCGTGGCTCTGTACAGCGGCAGGTACTCGCGCCACTCGCGCTCGGTGGCTATGGATAAATCAGAAAGTCCACAAATGGAAAGCAAAGTTTGGTTTTATCTCGTTAGTGGTTACTCAAATTATACTGAACAAAAAAAATTCTATTTAAAGGGTCAAAGCCCTCTTTCTAATTGAAGAAAATTTCAATTTCCCCCAACAAATAAACTAATTGCAGAAAATAAAAATCGAGTCTTTATTGAGCCAAAGTTGGAAATTTTATGGTTAAGCAAAGGATACCTTGTGGCTTAGGCGGGCCGGTGGATGGGGCGGGCCCGCCGATGTTCTTCTCGAGCTCGGCCCACACATCTCTGGCGTTGGCTAAATGGGCCACCGTCCGGAGCACCGGGTCGGCCAGTGACCCGAGAATCCAGCCCTTGACCACTCGATCCGTCCTCCACGCCACATTATCGTCGTCTCTTGACCTCCGGGCGTCCTCGTCGTCGGCGGCGGCGGGGGAAGCGACCGCCGGAGGAGGATTCGGCGGCGGAATCGTGCCGTCGATGAAGCGGGTCAGGTCGTGGGCCTCGATGAGGCAGAGCAATTGCTGTCTCCAGGACGAGTAGTTGCTCGAGCGGCTGTCGCCGGAGAGTTTTGAGGAGACGAAGTTTGACACGTTGACGGTGGTGAGGTAGCCCGGGAAAGATTGGTCGGCGGCGGTGGGTGGAGAGGAAGCCATTGTTGCGGATACTGAGTACTGAGCTTCAGCTCGTTTGTTCTTTTTTTATATTCTTTTCGTGTACAATTTTTATTTTTATTTTTTAAGTTGAAGTGGAATAAAATAAGTAATAGAACGCGTACTGAAGGATGTATCTAGTTTATAGTTTACAAATAGAGCTGTTAATAAAATCATATTTTTATATTACTTTAAAATATTACATAATTAATCTGTGTAATATCATATTTTATTAGTATCTATATATATATATATATATAATAAGAATTACTATTTATCAAAATGGCAAGTCAAATCTATAGTCAAAGCCTCTTATCATTAATGACTTGTCATTATTGGCAATTAATATTTTTTTTAAACACAACATTAAATGCAGTCTATACCATGTAGAGTTTGTTGCATTAGATGACCAAAAAACACGGGATTGTTTCATTAGTTTGTTAAAAAATCCATATCAGTACATTAATTTGTTACATAAAATCTCGTGTTTTTTTAAAAAACACGGGGTTGGCCTTTTATTATTTTCACAAAAAGTTGATACATTTTTAAATATATCATAGCACTATTGCATGTTAATTTTTTATTTTCTTCAGATTCTAAAACTTATAGAAAGATAAATTTGGAATAGAATTTAAATATTTGGCAATTTTTATTTTTAATAAAAAAAATGGCTGATTAAATAAAAATAGAAATTTTTTTTAACAGAAATGGCTAATATAATTGTAATGATTGGTGAACAAAGAATAAGTAAAACTGTTATTTTCTCTTATATCAAGGAATAAATATATATACCAAAATCAAATTTATATTAGTATAAATATGTTAGTGAGATAATATATTAATTATATTACAAGCTAGCCCCAACATGCTCATATATAATGTTATGGCTAAAAAAATAATGTTGATTAAAAAAAAGTGAAAAAAATATTATAACCCTATTGTATTTTAGACTTAACGTTGATTAAAAGAGGTAGAAAATAGATGTTAACCCTATTACATTTTAGTCTTAAACGGACAGAGCCTGTGAAAATAACTCATTTAATATTTCTATTCACTAGTAGTATTTTACAATATGATATTTAACTGTAAGAACATATATTTGAATATTTTTATTATATTTATTTTTAAATATGATATTTAAATAAATAAATTATGTAATTGAAAGGGTATAGACGTTGCTTCATGAGTCATGACTACCGATATCTTTTGGGGGAGGGAGTAGCTCCATATTCCACTTGAACTTTTCTAGTTTATCCTTTTGCTGGTTGTCTTAAATATGTAATAAGTCTAAATTGAAATTTTTATGCACAAGAATTTCTTGTGTCAATTATAAGTCATGGATGTGAGAAAATAAAATAGAACGGGCGGATCTTTATCAAGCATACATGCATTAAAATAAACATTGAATAAATCCTTATCATTGTACATATAAATATAGACCATCATATACGTATTTTAGATTAATTTCATAAACTTTATATTGATTAATATAATAATGTAATGCACAATTTTATAAAATATCTGCTTACAAGATATATATTCATAGCAAGTATCTCTAGTTCATTGTAGCGTTGGCCGATTTTAGTATATTGCGACGAGTTGATAGTTTCCCATCTTTTAATCTCATATAATGGATTATAACAAATTAAAATATTAAGGAAAAAATAACATGAGGCATGACTTGGGGAATTTATCACGAGCTTTTCTGGTATTTTGACTTTGAGCATTCAAATAATAATGTGATTTTTGGTTAACCTCGACCTCGAGTTTGGTTTAATGTGATTATGCACTACGTTAATTATTTCAACTCAAACTAGTGTATACCTCGTGCGATCCACGGAAACAATATTAAATTAATAATATTATAAATAGACCTCGAGTTTGAGTCACTCAATGACGGAAGTGGAAACTACTATTGTTCCTATTTAAAAAGAGGAAGCAAAAAAAATAATTATAAATTAAAGAGGAGGATAAACAATACTTAATAATTATAAATTAAAGATTCGGGGTCAAACAATGTAAAATTATTTTGTATAAGAGAATATAAAAAAATTTGATTACACACCATTTCAAAATTATTATTAATACTTTTTTGTATGGTTAGCTTATAATATTTGTAAGAATATTAGTAATTAGACCGATTAGCTTATAATATTTGTAAAAATATTAGTAATTAGACCGATGAAAATTAGCTTCTTAAAGTAGATAATGGATTTCCAGTAGTAATTATGAATTAGTTTCTATTTTATTTTATTTTTTCTTTTTAAAAATAATGGATTTCTAGTAGTAATTATGAATTGGTTTCTATTTTATCTTATTTTTTAAAATCTGTATAGATAAGGGATGAGATTTTTTAAACACGTGAGATCGTATGCAATGGGATTTTGTAATAGAAGAGATAAGCTTGTAGATTTATACTAAAAATAGGAAAAAGAAAAACAAATATTTATTGTCAAACAACGGTTTTGATAAACTAAAAAAAATGAGCCGATTTTTTTGCCTATTCAGATTTGTCCAACAATTACTATATTAGGATATATTTAATGATTTTGGCGGGAAAAAGCTTCTAAATTTGTAAAAAGGTTATTCTTTTTATATAATGATAGATTTTCGAGCAACTTGTAAGGCGAGCTGGTCCGTTATTCTTTGGAAAAAAATAAAAATAAATAAATTGTCATACGTTTTGTGATGTTGTTTTTTAATTGTAATGATATAATTTGAAAGTATCTATATATGTTTAGTAAAACTAGTACGTACCTCGTGCGATGCACGGAACATAAATATTAAATGAGTTATTTTCACAGACTTTGTCATTTTAAGCATATAAATAATAAGGTTATCATATATTTTCCACATCTTTTAAGCAGCGTTAAGTGTAATAAACAATAAGGTTACAATCTATTTTGCACTTCTTTTAATCAGCGTTGATTTTTTAGTCATAAACATTAAATATGAGCATGTTAAGATTAGTTTGTAAAATAATTGATATATTATCTGGTCATTATCTCTTAAATGGTAAATTATATTAATTTGAAGAACAAATTATTTTTTATATTTAACAAAATGAAGCTTAAAAAAAAATATATTAGCAAAGATTAATTCACCAACTTGATTTTGTCTGACTACTTGGAAAAAAATTTTACCTAACCTGTTACGATTCACCATAAATATTTTGGATAAAAAGTGAATATTTGTGAAAAAAAATTTAATATTATGATTAGAACTTAAAATATGGTGTAATATTTATCTTGACCAAAATATTATCAACACAGATCATGGAAATCAATCTTAATTTATTATAATGAATATCAATGAAAGTATTACAAATATTAATAAAATAATATTTATCTTTACCAAATTATTATCAACATGAATCACAGAAAATCAATCTTGTAATTTATTATAATAAATATCAATGAAAATATTGCAGATATTAATAAATTTATTTAAGTAATTATTTGATCCTATCTTATTTGATCTGATTTGAAAACGTGTATATGGAAACAATTAATGCATATACTTAAAAAGTTTCCAAAAATGGTATGCATTAAATGTTTCCTAAATTTTTTGTTACTATTTTTAGTAAATGGTAATTCTTATATATATATATATAGGGGCTGGTTCAAATAAAAACTATGTCTGGTGTGAGAACCGTGAGAACCATATTTGATGCTATTTTTAATTGTGTATGGTGCTATTTTTAATATTACATGGTGCTATCATTTTCATAAATGCTAATAAAAATTTTGTTGCTATTTTTAATCAAATACATCCTAGTTAAAAATAGCACTAAAACACAATTAATCATAGCACTACATACAATTAAAAATAGCGGTTCTCACGGTTCTCACACTAGGACTTGGTTTTCATTTGAACCACATCCTATATATATATATATATATATATATATATATATATATATATATATATAGGGTCACGCTCCGGTGAGAATGACTCTTAATGCGAGAAAATGAGAATAAATCGTAACCATTGGATCGGATAATCTAATGGATAATAAAAAAGTCAAATTTATACCTTCATTAAGGGTATTATGGGTATTACCATTACATATTCAATTAAACCACTGCCATATCACCACGCCACGTCATCCCCCTCTTTATCATACACACACGCAAAACACACGCACCACACGCACACACGCACAACACACACATCACGGTGAGAGACACACATACACACATTCACACACAGTCGGGCACCGCCATTGCTGCAGCCATTCTCGCCGGCGACCCACTTGTGGTCCTTCCCTCCGGCGACCTACTGCTCCGCCGCCAACGCCAAGCATCCCGCCACCGCCGGAGCCGCCGGATATGCTGTCAACAAACACAGAGGCGGGATGTCCTCCGCCGCCTGCTGGCCTCTGTGCCGCGCCGTCGAGCGCCTTCCTTCACATAGGATCGCACAGTGATCTTCTCCGCCAGCGCCATTCGATCAGAGATGTCAAAATCATCTGAAATATGCCGGAAAAGCCGTCCCCGTCGTGAATGCGACCTCACAAATCTTCGAAAATTCCGACCCAATCTCAGCCCTCCGACGGGATAATTTCGCTAGCTCCGATATCAGGCATGAAGACGAGCGGCGAATTCGATGGTGAAAGGAGGGGATTTCCTGAAAATTGAAAGACGATCTGCAATGAATCTTTGATTTGATTTTGAGAATTAGATATTTGATAGGGACCCTATTGCAATTTAGTAACTTTTGATTAAATGTCAATTTAATCCATGGGCCAAATCTGTAATTTTTAAGAAATATATAAAAAAATATTAAATAACAAATATCAAAACATGAAAGAGCACAGATTCGGCTTGGTTGTTCTCACTCGTTTAATATCAAAATACTGATTTCATTTTTAGAATATAAATAGTAAAGTATTTATATTTTATTTATGTATATAATAAAAATATTATTTTATATTTACATAAAAATAACATATATATATACATATTAATTATTCTCAACAAACAATAATATAAAATAGTAAATATGAAATTATAAATACTAAATATATTCTATAAAAACATTAAAATACTAAATATATTTCGGATTTAATTTAGTTCGAGACAAATTATTAAAAATATATATGTACTTCGAGTGCACCTTAGAGTTAGACGAATTGCACAATAATGACTGT